ATTTTTAGATTCCCAGGTAGAACTCAATGGAATGTGGCGGTGTTGCCATATGTCCACATACAGTTATCTTTTCAGAACAAAGCAGTGCAAACCGCATTCCGCTGGCGTTATTCGTTAAAAAGTTATGGGCTACAAAAATTAAGCTTGCAGCCGACGTACACTGTACCGATATCCACTAGGGGGTATTTATGCCTCACGAATTTTCACGTTCGTCCGCGCGCAGAGGTTAAGAATGCATGAAATTCCACTTTCTATACGTCTGCGTGGTGTGTTGCTTAGTTAAACACCTGAGTCAACGTATGTTTTACCATGTAGGCAGAAAACAGTAAATGTTACAGAAGTTGGTTTTGAAGTTTTCTGAATAGCAAAAATTACTTGGATTTGATTGCAACTTATTTTAGTTTGTTTTGTGACTGTAAAGATGATAGGTAAGAGTTCTTGAATAAATTTTGTCTTATGTTGAAAGCATATGTGTATGTTTTCACATTGCTTGTGATCTTTTGCTGTGCTTATGTGGACGCTGTCTTTGGTAATCCTTGCATAATAGGATCAATGTAATTTACAGTAGTTTTGTATTTTATCTAGATACTGTATGGCATTTTGATTGAGTTTGGAGTACCAAAGGAACTTGTTAGGTTAATTAAGATGTGAATGGATGGGGTATATATTAGAGTACCTATAGGTAACCTTCTGTCAGAGCCATTCCCAGTGCACAATAGCGTAAAACCTAGATGATTTATCCGCAGTGCTTTTTAATTTTGCTCTAGAACATGTTATCAGGAAGGTCGGAGGGAATCAGGAAGTGCTCAAATTGAACGGTGTGCACCAGGTACTTGCCGAGGCTGATAACGTCAAATAGCTGGGGAATGGTGTAGGTACCATGACTAAGAATGCAGAAAGTCCACTGCGGGCTAGCAAGAAAATAGGCCTAGAAGTAAATGTGGACAGAACTAAATACATGGGTATAATACGGGATTAACACCAACAACAACTTATTTATTTTATTTAGTGTTCTTTCTGACGACAGGTCCATATGAACTGGATCCTTCCATCCTTTTCTCGGACTGGGACCTGTTCATATACGTTCTTGGCAAATGACCTATTAATTATAAGTAACACGTCATTTGAAAATGTTTAAAAGTTTAAGTACCTGGGAGCAACAATAACAAATAGAAGTGAGGTCCATGATGAAATTGAGAGTAGAGTACATTCAGTAAACACTTGTTTTTGTTCAGTTTCAAAAAAACTGTTATCATCTCGTTTACTATCCAAAACACCAAAGATCAGGATATATAAAACAATAATTTTGCCTGTTATCTTGTATGGTTGTCAAATGTGGTCTCTTACTTTGAAAGAAGAACATAGATTACAAGTGTTTGAAAACAGGGTGCTTAGGAATATATTTGGACCTAGGAAGGATGGAATATTTGGGGAATTTAGAATATTACATAATGAGGAGATGCATGAATTGTACAGTTACATAGCATAGTGAGGATAGTGAAATCTAGGAGGCTCCAATGGGTTGGACATGAAGGAAGCAAGGGGTGGATACAGAATTTTGGTGGTAAATCATCCTGTAAAATGACCAATGGGTAGACCAAGAAGGAGATGGGAGGATAATATAAGGATGGATCTTAGGGAGATGGGAGGATGATAAATGGATGGAGTTGGCTCAGGATTGTGGTGGGCTTTGGTGTTGTCAGTGTTGGACCTGTGGGTTCTGCAACCAGGAAGTTGGTTGTTCTGTTTTATCTAGGAACATTCAGAATATAAAGGTGTGAAGGAAGCATGTGGAAACTGTGTATTTTGGTATGGATTATTTCCTTTTGATTTCAGTCTGTGTTGTCACACTGTTTTTGAAAGTACATGGGTGAATAAGCATTTAGGACTTAATTCTATTGCAGTGTTGTTATACCATAAAAATAGTAGTCTCTTGTTAAATATTAGTAAAGTAGTGCTGTCCTACATCCCATGGAGGCACTTGGCAGGAGAGGAGGTGTAGCTCCAATTCATTTTTGATGTCTACAGTAGATATGGGCGAGCGCTCAGCATCAAGCCCTGGTTGTGCTTTACCTCTGGGAAAGGGGTCTGTATTACTCATTGGATAGGGGGTTGGGTGTGCCCCAGAGCCGATCTCGACGCAGGGGCTAGAAGAAAAATCCTTTGCCCATGCCAGGGATGAAACTCCAGTTATCCAGCCTGTTAACAGCATGTTAACCATGTATTGACCGAGCTACGACAGGGCATTCTTAAACATTAGTCACGGCATAGTACTGTACATAGATGTTTCTTATGCTTATGTAAAAGCCTTGAAAAATCATGAACTGAACAAGAAATATGTGTGTATCTGAACCATGTTATTTCATTGCATGTGGTGGGACACATCTGAAATTTGTAACTACGTGTAAATTTATATTGGGTGAAGTTTAAAAATGATAATTAAATATATATTTATTTATTTATTTATCTTTAAGGGGAGATCAGTTTTTGTGTCCATTGTTGTAATTGCTGGTGAATAATGAACGTGGCTCTGTCCGTGACGCCACTTTCCGCTGTATCAGAATTTGTCAACATAGATGATAAGATGCAGGTCTATTTTGTAGTCTGCATGTATATCAAAGCCCATCCATACCTACTGGCAAATTGATAATTTTTTGTCGGAATCTGATTGTGTTATTTCTAGCTGCTAATAGAAATATTACTTTGTTTCAGCTGCATCATTTTCGACCTCAAATTTTGTTGGCTCTGCAAACAGTTATGGAAACCAAATGCAGGACCAGACTCTGGAATCTTCATCTGTTACAGCCCAATGCCCAACTCAGACATTGCCATCACGACCAAAAACACAGCGACCAAGGGTTCCGCCTCCTTCAAAAGTGAGTATCAAGCATGTAATGGACATTTCCACACATGTTCAGAATGTTTTTTGACCTGTTAATACCTACTTTGCTAGCCACTAAACCATAACGAGCCAAGCCGGAATTACTGCTGTGGAGTGCAGTTGCTGAACATTGGTGTGGCTAATTAAAGTTAGGCCCTGACAGCACCGAAGACATGTTGTGAATGAAGAAGTTTGGTGATGGGGAAGCTGTATTTAGCTAGGACGGTCTTGCAGCAATGGACAACAGTTAGCGTACATATTCAATTCACTGACAACACGTTTCAAAGTATCATCGTCATCTGGCCAATCTTAACTCATATAATGTGCCAGCATTTTTATCGTAAAATATAATTTACATTTTAGTAATTCAAAGGAATTTTACGGTGTAAATAGATCAGTTAGTTGCGTACCAGTATACAGTATATATAAAGAAGGTGAAGTTTTAAAATTCATTATGTCATGGCAATATTTTTGATGAAAATTCTGTGGGGTGCAAGGGGGGTCGCAACACATTATATGAAGGCTGTGTTGTGCCTGTTGGGTGTGTTTTTTATTGGCATATGTTGATGCTTAGATTGGTTGGCCGGTGGAATTATATTGTCAGGTATCTGAGTATGTGACTGTGATGTTATCCGGTACCTGTCTGGTTCTATACGCCTGCACTGTCACTATAAAACCTGAAATCTGATGTTTATATTAGTTATATTTCTTTCTCTGTAATGTATTTTAAACTTTGTTTACCTTCTGTGTATTATGTGCTGTGGATGGATACAGAATTGAGATACAGAAGATAGCTGAAAATATATTGAATAAGCAGTTATGGTACAATAAATTCTTTTTGGGTTACCAGCCAGGTCAGGTGATTGAAAGGCGATAAAACCAACATTTTGAGAACCATCTTTGTCCTCATCCGTCTTCAGTGCCCTGAGGACGAGGATTAAGATGGTTATTGAAACATTGGTTGTTTTCGCTGTTCAACTACCTGACATAGGTGGTAGCTTGATATGAATTTATTATACTTGACGTGAAAGATCCAGATCATACAAACAATTGTGGTCGTCTGAAAAGAGATGGCCTTTGAACTTGGAGTTGGGTGGGGGTTAATTACTCTCCATGACAAAAAAACCAGCATGCTATGAAATATTGCTTGAAGCTTCTTTGGAATGTGCTATACAATGAAAATCAGATACAAGATTTGGAACTTGGAATGTCATGAGTCCCTGCAAGTCCAATTCATTTAAATCAGTAGGATGAGAATAATAAAATGTAGGTTACATTTAATGGAATAGGTCAGATAGGACAAGGGTGATGTTGACCTGGGAGACAAAGAAATGATTGTGTAGAAGATTTAGGTATTGATATGAGAGTAATATTAGAATGGAGGTTAAGGAAATAGGGTATTTAGAAATTCTTTGCTATCAGCTTCTCATGAAAGACTTTACTATAAGGAATGAGTAAGTTAATTTGTTGTTTATATTATGGTTTTTATGTTTGTTGCAGATCCCACAGAGTGCTGTGGAAATGCCTGGTGATGCAATAAACAGCAGTATTGGTTATCTAGATGTTCAGTTTGGAGGTCTTGAGTTTGGTAGTGAAACAAGTTCTTTTGAAACATCATCAGAGCAATCCAAATATCCCAGCAATGTGTCTGGGTCTGTGCTGGATTCACTTCCATCTCCCAGAACTACTTCCAACCTCGATTTGAGTGGAACAAATCAAACGTCTGTTTTAGACACATATTCAGGAACGTCTTCACAGAAGACAAACCAACCAGGCATTGCTTCTGCACTAACACAAAACCAGAAGGTCAGAAAAATATGTGTATATGTTAATCTGAAATGAATGGATAGATTTTAGTGTGGCAGTATCCTGAATGGAAGAATAAATGCTAGTTGTCACGCTCAAATTCTGTGTCTGAAGTATGTGCGGAGTATTTGTCGGTGTGTTAGGATGTACAAAAAGAAGAATTTTACAAACAAATTAAGTCATGAAATCATTGAGAGCATAGGTAATTTTTTCTTTTTTGATTTTGTTATATAGAAATATATTTATGTGTAACACTGCACATAATTAAGTATTGTGGTACCTTGAAGTGTAAATAATTATAATTTTCTCTTTTTTTCGCTGAATTATGAAACTGTGTTGTTCAAATTTTGGTGCCATACATACAAGGAATTAAATTTGCTCTCCTTTGTACGTCATGATTTAATTGGCATTTTTGTACTGCTCTTGTAATATTATTACATGTATTGAAAAAATTCCATTTCTTGAATCTAACAAAAATATCAAACTTTGGGAGCTGCTGGTAGGGTGCGTAGGTTCTGTGGCACTGGCCAGAGGAAGTTCTGATGTCGCTGGTGCCATTTGCAAAGGTCAGTGGTGAAATTATGGCATGTGTCAGAATTGTGGTCTATGCATACATTTCCAAACATGTTTAATGTGTTTATAATCAGTGAAAAGAAAATAGCATAGGTTTGTTAAATGTAAAATAATATTTTGATGCGAAACAGCAAATGCTTGCTTCTACTGTTTCTGATTTGGCTTTTTGTGGCCATGTTCATTTCGAACTGAAGTAGCCTACCACTAGTCAGAAATCTTCGCTGTGTTAGATTCCTTCACAGATGCTGTGCAAAACTTTTTACTGTCAAATTTTTATCTGCAATTATGAGAAGGGAGACATTCCTTACAACTTGCTATACCCATCATAAGATTATATGTAGCTCCCAGCACTTTGGCTGATTCCATTTTGCTTTTATTTTTAGATTCCTCATTTACATTAACCCATTTGATTTCACTTCATTGTGAAGATTGTATTTCTTTATAATAGAACAGCAATGAAATTCATGGATGCATTTGCTTAGTTTTCTTGTTGCTGTATCTGCTAACAACTATTAAAGTCACAACAGAACAAGTATTTTAAAGATGAGTATGGGTGATAAATGCACATACAAACTGCAGTATCGCATAGCGTTCGTTAAGTCCACCCCACGTATGAATTTTGTTATTCATCGTTACCCATCCCTTTCGGCTTTCGTCATATCTGTGTGATGCTGTGTGGCTTCAGATGTTACCATTTCTAAAGACACTTTTACAAACATAAATGAACTGTATTTATCATGAAAGATAAACCATCACAGTTATCCTGGCATATGAAAAAACTGAGTTGTTACACATTGAAAAAATGTCACAGGCTGTTTTCCAACACTGGATGATTTTTGAATGAGTAATGAAAATTGATGAGGTTTCTTCTAAAAGATGGCTCTGAGGTTAGAACATGGTTGAGCAACACCCATAGCAATGAAGTTCTGGCTTTGTATTTCCTACCTAGCAGGATACTCGCCCAAAGTGCAGTTCTTGCAATGTCTGTATCTTGCAGGAGAAAAACAGGCAGACTAGAAATTGAAACATGTTGAATTATGCATACAGTGGTAGTTTTTCTAAGTGTTGTAATCCATTAGGATTGTGATTGTTGTTTGTGACAAGTGGTATGTTACAACACAGATTAAAATCATATTAATTTATTTTAGCTGTCTGGTGGTGATACAATGCTTTCAACCTCTGAGCATAAAGTAAGTCAGCCAAGTTTCTCTCAGAATCGGAGCTCTAATTCAGCAGGGCTGGATATGGATAAGACTGAAGTGGGTCTTTCTTATTCTGCTTCAAATACTGCAACATACCAGCCTTCATACCAGAGTCAGAAGTCTAGTGGTACTGGATATCAGCAGACCTCTAGTTACACGTCGTCCAACTACTCTTCCACCCAGGTGCTTGAAAGAGTAGTACATCTGAATGTTTTCAAGCTCTTTATTATTAACATTAATCCATAAAATGCCAGGATTGGTTAGATCTGTTGGAAAAGAAAGCACAAATTGCTAGCATTTATTAGATTTATTCTTCACATCTGAATATTCATTCCTAAGGATTAGACAGGGGTTGAAGCAGCTTATATCTTAATTAATCATATTAAAAAAGAAAAGGTGTTTTTGTAGTTTCAGTACGAAGATTTGTAGGAAGAAAGTGTAGTACGTTTCAGGACTCAGCTTTGCAACTCTGAGGAATGTTTTTTTTATGTGAAACCTGCCATGTAGTATGTTTCAGGACTCAGCTTTGCAACTCTAAGGAATGTTTTTTTTATGTGAAACCTGCAAACAGCTGATTTTATTTCATAGTCAAGGTAAATCTTAACAGAGCTGCATTTCTTACTGTGGCTCACATATCTCAGGGTTATTAGCATCTTCAAGGAGGCTTTCTATGTGTGTGAGTAACACCGCCTCTGCCTCATGCCCTGAGGTACCATAACTACGAAACTTGTTTACGTTCATGTAGGATGTTGCAGAAAAGTCCACAAAAACGATACATTTAATGGCATCTTTAATAAATTAAATGTCCTTGAAATATCATAGGCAGAGGTATGTGGAAAACAGTTCTGCAATTTATGGGCATAAAAGTGAGTCTTAATGAAACTGAGAGAGAAACATTGAAAGGGCAGACTAAAAGCACAGTGGTTGAATATGAATCACAAAGTAATGAAATGAAAGAACTTGCAGGAGTAGAACTGTTATTAACATTTATGGAGTAAAAGATTTGGGACACTATAAAAATGAATGTAATCAAAGAATAAGAAAAAGAGGTGGAACAGTGTACACAGTAAGACATCAAATTGAGGTTCTGCTTCCACTTTTAGTCTGCCTATGTGTGTGTGGTCCCCTGTCTCTTTTAACTTTTGAATCATTTGGTTGATTTTCATAAAGCTTGATATGTACATTGCACCACCACAGGCCACAGCAACCTCACACTTGGTAAATATCATAATTCGATAATAACAAAATGGAGGACATGCAAACGTGATGTGGGAACAGTAGTAATGCCACTTAATATGGGGTTCTGAAATGATATATGGTAATGACGTTAAAAATATTCAGTTCTTAAGATAATTATTTTGTAGAATATAAAATAACAATATGCACTCACGTGAAATTTTACTTTAGCTTATAGTTTTGATGTTGACAAGTTGGAGCTAACAGTGTGAAATTTTCTATGAAAATCAGTCTTAAACATTCATACTAATTGTGCATGAATATTGTTATATGCCAAGAATCACAAACATGGTGACAGTGTCAAACTTTGATGTTAAAGCCAGTAAATTTAAGATAGACAGTGCAAGATTTCTGTCGGATCTTACAGACAGTGCAAGGTTTGTAGGGCTTGATATCTGTACAATTGGAAAGTGGGCTTTGTGATTTCTACTTGGAACTCCTTGTGTTATGCCAAATCATGATATTTCAGGTTCTCACAGCAGCAAGCATGAAGATGGCCGTCTTCTTGGATGTTGCACCATATAGAAGTTTACCAGCGTTTCAGAGGTGCTTGCTGCCTCCATTATCAGGGCAATGGATGGAGGCAGCAAACATCTCTGAAATGTCTGTAAACTTCTACCATTCTGTATAGTGAAGCATCCCAGAAGATGGTTATCTTCAAACTGTTGGTGTTGAATAGATTTGTTAAGTACATTTAAAATACAGTTTTTAACATTTCATGTGCTTGTGTGCTAAGGACACTGAAGCTCTCATTCCCAAACCTCAGTGTGGGTTGATAGAAAAGATCATACATTGGGAGTTACCTGGTTCAGATTTTGTTTGGGCCATTATTTATACTTTCGGAGGTTATGTATATTTTGTGTGGTCTTCCAAATGTTTCTTAAATAGTAACTTGAAGTAGGCCACAACTGCATTTGTATCTTTTCCAATACTGACGCTTCCATCATGTTGTCATTTGTCCTTTGCTAAGTAACATCTACAGGCAATACAGAATTATTAAAACAACCTACAAATTTAATGAATTTAGTGGCAAGACTAATTTGTATCAGGATTTTTAATATGTAATTTCAGTTACTCTTAATTATTTTGAGTGAAGAGATTGTGTTTTTCATTTGTTGGATAGAGAAAACTGTTGACACGTAATTGATAAGTTGTGGCACTTGTTTTAGGTTACGTCGTCAGCCGCAGTTTATCCAACAAACCAGTCGCAGATGAGCTACGCATCCAGTGGGACAGTCTCCAGCTACAGCAACCAGCCCACGGTGCCCAGCTCATCATATCCAAGCAATTCCTATTCCCAGGCGTCTGCTGGTGTTGCCTATCAAACTGGTCCCACCTCGTACACTTCGATAAATCAGCAGTCTGTCAATTCGTTCCCTAGTGCTACACCCTCATACCAGGCAACAGGCCAGTCTGTGTATGGAAGCTCAACTCTAGGTGGCTCTGTGAACTATGCTGGATCTACAGGCACAGGACAGTACCAAAACAACTATGGAGGAAGTGTGGCGACAACGTCGCAGAACCATACAAAACTCAGCTCTGCACTCAATACTGGTACCAAAGAAGCACAGGTAATTGCATATCCTTGATGACTGCCTTTCGTTGTTAAATTACATTTGTAAGTTTAAGTGCTAATTTTCATTTCTTCTTTAAGTATTTTTTTCCATTTTGAAAAGGATGGAAAATCTTTGTTCTAGCATATCCCATTGCTGTCTTTCCTTCACATTTTAATTGTAATGCCTTTTTTATATTGTTTTATACATTTGTTCTGTGGACAGACTATTGTAATCATTTCTCTTCTGAATTTGTTCATATCTTAATTTTATTTTCAAATAGTTTTTTTTACTATTTCCAGGTATTTCAGTTTTGAATCAATTTAAGTTATTGGCCACAGTTATACTGTTAATGTTTTAATTATAATTAAAATCTAGCATTAAATAACCACCTTGTTTTATTGATTAATATTTATTAAATCAATAAAACAAGGTGGTTATTTAATGCTAGATTTAACTTTGTTTGCAGCAGACTGTGGGAAAATGGTAAATTATGGAGCAATGAAAAGTATTTTAGCAGAACCTGTGCTAAATTATGTAAAGTAATTGATGCTTTAAGAACTTCTCAGGTGATCTGCAACATCTGTTCAGAGCAGTGGTCTAACATATCAGACACTGCGCGTGACTTCGGCTTTTTTTGCGCGAGCCACGTGGAATGTTGCATTTTAACCAAGATTTTAGCAGTCATTGCAGGTGCCATCTTCCAGGTTAATAGGTAACATTTCACGCAGCTTGGACGCGAATGCCATTGTTACACATTGAACTCGAGCTGTGAAAACCTAAGGACAAAAATGTTGTAGATTGTCTGTGTTTTCAACATATGTCCTATAAAATTTATATGAAATTTTTGTTTTCCTATAGAGTTCTTGTTAGCTGGGTATGTGGCAAACTATACAGAGGATTCTCTTTTTTGTAGATTTAAAACTGTTTCCTAGAGGTAGAAAAATAATAATACGCAAGTTTTCACAGTGCCATTGTACGAGGCTCGTCCACAAAGTAAGTTTCCCTGGAGCCGTTTACAGAAACAAAACACAATTTCATGGAAATATTTATTGCAACAGATACAGCAAGTGTCCAGCTATTTTTCAACATATTCGCCACCGGAATTGAGACATTTGTCATACCGTAGGACCAACTTTTGAATACCTGTGTCGTAGAAGTCTGCCGCCTGGGATTGGAACCACGGTGTGACAACCATCTCCGCCTCTCTGTCATTCTCAAAACGCTGACGCTGACCAGACAGGAATTTCTTGAGGTGTAGGAAAAGATGGAAATCACTGGGAGCGAGGTCCGGGCTGGAGGGTGGATGATTAAACACCTCCCAGCTGAACTCCTGCAGGAGACTGGCTGTCCGTCGAGCCGTGTAGTCGCTTCGCGCATTATAAGGTTTGCTAGCTGTGGGAAGAGTGGGAAACTTACTTTGTGGACGCGCCTCGTGTGTTTATCTATCATTTTAACATGTGTGGCTTTGATATTTGGCCTTTTGTGCTAGATTATAAGGAGCTGTTTAGTTTTATTTGCAGTTATTTACATATGCCGTTATCACATGACTTTCATCTGCTTTACTTTTGGTTTTTTTGTATAGTATGACACTGCAACAACATCAAGTTCTAACTTGAGCAGCACAAACGTTACTACAACAAATAGTGGTCTTTCAACAAATGTTAATGCATCGCCTGCATTAGGGCTTGCGAGCAGCAGCCAAACTGTGAACACAACTTCTACCAAAGTATCAAGTTCCACAGGCAAGTAATCACTGCTTCTGACTGTCATATTTGTAGGATGTAAACTGATTGTGGTATGATATAAAGAAATAAATGTAAAGCTCGTGTATACACATGAATTTCACATCTGTTATCTCCAGATGTTATTTTACTGTTTATATAGGAAGCTACAGCCACGGTGGTCTAGCGGTTAGAACGCTGGCCTTGTAATCCTGGGGTCTCGGGTTCGATTCCCGGCGGTGCCCGAATTTATAACTTGTGTTGGGCAAGGCCGTGGTCTAGGCAGCAAGGAGTTTTCCTTCGGGGGCTTCCCCGGTTTCTCCGTGGCATCCCAACAATTACTCCATTCACACACAGAAGAAGGCAATGGCAAACCACTTCTGGATCATCTGCCAAGAACGTATATGAACAGGTCCCAGTCCGAGAAAAGGATGGAAGGATCCTGTTCATATGGACCTGTCGTCAGACAGAACACTAAATAAATAAAATAGGAAGCTAGGCTGTGGATAATAACTTTAAGATTGCCGTCTGTTTTAATTTCAGGCAAGAGTGGCGTAGTTCCAAATATCCCACCGGGTGTTCCTCCGATGCTTGGCACACAGTACATCATGAGCCAAGGAGGGCTTCCCTACTTCCAGCAACCTGTTTATAGCTATGAGGACTTGCAGTTGCTTCAACAAAGGATACCACACGTGGTAATGCCCAAGGTTCTTCAATAACACAATTTCATGTTTGTGAGATTTGACTTTCTCACAGATGTGAAGATGTCGTTGTTATTCTTCTGGATTTTGACGCTATGTGGACTTGTTGCTGGATGCTGATGTTTTGAAGAAACATTTGGAGACAGTATGAAGTTCACTGTCTTCTGCGTTGTTGTGCCATGTAGTGTGATAGATATTGATGTTTCCCATTACCTTAGACAGCAAACTATGAAGTACTCTTCATAGTTTGCTGTCTAAGATAATGTTTTTGGTTTACATGCAAAATATGTTTTATTGCCCTGACGATGGAGGCAATAAGCTTCCCTGAAATATTGGGCTATATCTATAAGACTACATGACCTGAAGTCTCATATGAAACAGTCTTATTTTATCTGCCTCCAAGTCCACATGGCATCGTAACCCAGAAAACAACATTGTCAATGTAATGTTTTGCACCTTTCTGAAGTCGGTGTGTATGTAGTCTGACAACTGGACTAGTGTTTCTGTCCAGTAACTGGCCCCACTGGCGAGTTGGAGTGTGGCTTCTTGATTCGTCTGTTTTTTGTCAGTCATAATGATTTGCTTTGTTTTGTCCATGCATTTATGTTTGGGTTTGTTTGTTCGTTAGAGAAATGGATGACAAATTGTTAGAACAGAGAATCAGTATTAAATGTTTGGTCAGATTAAAAATGTGCAACTGACATAAAATGTTACAGATAGTTTTTGGCGAGGCAATCTTGACTAAACACAGGTTCTTGTGTCGGTTAAGAAATTTCAAGGTATGGAGGTTATTCCAAAAGTAGGTACAAACAGGCATGGCACATGATTGGAAGCATTTTATTGGTAATCGTCGAGGGGGTGCAAATGCTCATTTGAACATCGAAAAGAGTACGGTAGATCTGTGCGTGTTTACGTGACATCCAAAGCAGATTGGTACTGACACCAGAGAGTTAGAACAAATATAGGGGAGAAAAGTGTGAATTATTTTATGCATGCAGAGAGCAACATGCAAGGAGCTTATTGCAAAAGATAAAAGATAGAGTGATCATGTTGCAAGATGATAAAACATCACACACAGCCTGTTAAATTCAACGGTGGTTCTACCTATGTAGATGGGAGATATTGCATTTTCCTGCACACTGTTCTGACTGGTACCATTAGACTCGAGACAGCCATCTTCAGACTCGGTACCATGAAAACCTCAAATCCTACATACCATTAGACTTTAAGCTCATTGTGACCCTCAGATGGCATTTATTGGGCTCAGTGGTTTGTAGACGATGATTAATGTTGATGATATTGCAGTGGTAGTGACCCAGTTACAGGCACTTGATAGGGATAGGATTTATTTGCAAGGGACTGCAGTGCAATGGTTTCACATGGGACAAGTGATTCAGCAGTTGGTATGTAAGCAGTTGTACCTCTGTGGTAATAAATGCCTTATTTTTGGAACATCTTTTATGGAAGGAAAGACATTACAAATGATGAAAATTGCTGCTGAATGACAAGTTGAAGAACTGAAGCAAATTTGGAAACTGTTTCTGCATGGCGAGAAATTATCGTAAATTTTCTGTTCACAAAATTGGAAAACTGGACGTACTTGCAAACTCAGTACCTGTGAGACTGATTTTGACCGAAGTTTCAAACATGAAGAAGGTGATATCTCTTGAAGTCTTAGTGGCGTGCAAAAATGAGGGGAAAATACATTTTCCTAGTTCTTTCAACAGGATTATTAGGAGAATCTGGTATTTTGGAACAAGTATTTGGAAGTCTAAATTTTCAGTCATACAAGTGGAGTTTGCATCATGAACATTTGCTGTTTCATTCCACTTCAGTAAAGAGATCTTTGGCCAGAAAATGAATACTATTGTTGGAACATCCATTGTGCATGTCCCACTCAACCTCGTGACTTTTCACGTTTCCAAAACTAAACATTTCCTTTAACAGATATACTTCTGAGTTGCATGAAGACATGGGGAATATAAGAATATTCATTTAAGTTCTAGAAAATTATCTTTGGCACTTTATCCATCGATGGCGATATTGGGAATGTGTGTGTGTCTGTTTGTAAGTCAGAAGGTGATTACTTTAAAGGTGACCTCTCTCACTCAGTGTTAGCTTTTGGGGACATCATTCCATTTATTTAAATGCCATACTTAATATGTTGTACTGTATTAAATTAAGGAACCTTCCTTTATTTATCAAATGTACTTTCTCCATTACAGGCAACAGGGTATTTTGACATGGGTTTCCAGGCTCCAACAAGCTTAGCCACAGGAAGAGAAGGAGGCTTGGCTAGTGTAGCATATTCCATGTCTGATGGCCGTTTTACAAGGGCAGACAACAATGCTTCACCAGTTCCTTCTACTCTTTCACAGCAGGTAAGAGTCCATTTCAGTAGTTTTTGGCCGGTGGAGAAAAGTGATTAGCTTTGAACCAGTTAATTGCTGTCTAGGACATCTCCAAGTTCAGTTCAAACCTCTTACATGTCTGAAGAGATAACCTGCAAAGAAGCATTAGTATTCATTGTGAATGAATTTTGTTTTGTAATTTAATCAGGCCTCTTTAAATATGTATGTTATTTTGTGTTCTCTGGCGATTGGTTTCTGACATCCGTCTTTTGCCATGGCACTGATTTATTTGTTTATGAATTGCATTGTCTCAGGCTGTTCTTTGTGAATCACAAGAGATGAGAAATAGACATGCGATTTTCATAGGAAAACCTGAAGCAGTGACCGCTTGGGAGACCTAGGCATAGATGGGAGGACAATATTAAAACTGATCTTAGAGGAATTAGGATATGAATGTGTGTACTGAATGACCAGGGTTCAATCCCTGGTGGGCAAAGAATTTTTACTGTAACCTCTGTCCATAAGCCTCTGGGGCCCACTCAGCGTCCTATTCAATGCGTATCAGGGGTTTAGTGAGGCTGGGGTGTGACGCTGATTATCACCCCTATTTTGTGCTGAGGTAAAGAATGAGTAGGTGCTATACCACCACCTCCTTCTCCCCCCTGCAGCGCCTACATAGTGTGTAGGTGGACAGCTGTTTTAGAAGTGTTTACAGTGATTGAAAAATATGTTGTTATAGTGAATACTTGCTACAGATAGTTAAATATGTGAAAAAATAAAAATTATCCCCGGAATAAAAAAGCATATAAATTTTTGCTGCCTTTGTAGCGCAGTGATTTTAATTAAATTTGCTTGTATTCTGTAGTACGGAAACAACTGACATTCTGTACATGGTTCACAAACAAAATATATTTATGCTAGTTTAATAATTGCCAGAATTCATACTTTGGAAGTGTTATGGGTGAATCATGGAAGAACATGGCTTCTACATGGTGTGACAGTATGGAAGAAATATATTGTGTGCATTGTGTGGTGGTAAAATGGTATGTATAATCTAGGTTTCGACAACACATTGTGTCCAGTTAGTGACTGCAGGTTTTTATGAGGCTGCAGTTTATTGTCAGCGTTGTTGATCCGCTTTGTCATGGTTATCAATTTGGTAGCGACCACTGGGGATACTAATGTCTTGCCAGTGGGCCACAGTTGATTCAGAATAGCAGTAGCATCTAAGTGCATTGCCGGACATAATTTTATGATTACAGAAAATAGTCAGACACATTTTGTGAAAATATTGAAATAACATTTTTTCATGTGTATATTTACATGATGCTCAGAAGCACTTGTTCTGTCAAAAACGATGGAATAGCTACTGTCGTTATGATCTAAAACTACTCCTGTATTTAACGTTATATTGACTACAGATAAAAAAGCATTTAAATAATTTTAAAACATTATAACCTATAATTTTGTCATTATTTGTGGCGAATGGAGAATGGACAAAATTATTGTCCCAGTGCAGTGACTTCAAGCACATATTTGAACATGATCATGGCCACATTAGACTGAAACTAGTTTTAGAGAATGGACTATGAACTGAATGTATGAAAGTGACAGGCAGGAATAAATAAGCATTCTCTAGCTCTGCACCACACAGTTTAAGAATTTCATGATTTACTGCTGTATAACATGAATTTCTTAAAAATGTTGCTGTTTATTTTGTTGGTTAACTTTTTATATAGGTGTAGATTAGTGGATAATAAAATGGATCCTAAAGAAATAGGATGCGAGTGTAGAATAGATCAGGGTGGTCTAACTGGCGGCCTGCAACCACTTGTAATCCGGCCTGCGAAAGTATTTGTTAAATTGTTACTAGTACAAACCCATTTATTTTCTTTGAAAAAATAATTTTGATTCTCATCTCATCTGCTGCTTTACATACAAATGCCACGTGTCGGTATGCGTTATCTGAGGATGTGTTACAACCAACCCTTCCTTTTGCAGCAACAAAAATAGTTGATATTTCGTCACTGGTAAAAGAACATTCTGCTCAGCGCTCTCACTAAAGCCATTGACTTCAAAAGCATATGATTTGCGATCTACTGGTGCAAATCGTTATTGTATCAGATACAAGCTGAGGAGTGGAGTTCAAATAATTTGCAAAAGTTTTCCAGGTAAAATTTGTGACAGATACAAGCTGTTGCAGGAGCAAATTTAAAATAGTATACAACTCTGTGGTAGTTTGTGGATATTTAAATAAAATTTATATTTCAGCATATGCGATGGTAATTTGTCATTTCTGAATAAGTATTGTTAAAGATAACGACAATGCAAAAATAGTGACAGTAGGGGTTTCTTGGCCCTGGGGTCCAACAGGAAAACTATTTTGGCTTGAGCGAGGAGAAAAGTTGGACTAAATTAATCCGTCAGAATAGAGAGCAGTGATGGGCTCTTGTGAACATTTTAATGAGCCTTTGGGTTCCATAAAAGCTTATAAATTTTGTTGCCAGCTGGGGATGTGTATCAGTTTCTGAGGGACTCTGTTCATGGTGTTGATTAATTAATGTACTTTTAGAACTTAGATTTGCCTTCCTATCTCAGTGTTTCATGATTTTGTTAGGTTAGGTTACTAGTTTTTAATCCCTGAATACAGATGCAGCTTCCTCAATGGTAGTAGTATTAATGCAATACTTCTTGTTGCTAAGAAAAGAAATGTGGTGTTGTTTTGGTGTATCAGGTGTTACTTATTACTGATTTTAATATACCATTTTTTTCATGTAGCTTTATCATTTACAGAGTGCCACTCAGGCGCATCAACAGCCAATGTTGAATCCTACACCATTGCCACCAGGTTATGCGTACTTCTATGGTGGAGGGATGATGCCAGGCAGTTTCCAGTATGGAACCCCTGCAATCTATCCGGTAAAATGCTCATTTTAGTCGTACTTGCATTACTATAAAATATACTGCATTTTATGTATACAATTCATTTCCATCTCCCTTTTGTTTTATATGCGTGTGCTTTATTCAGTTGTTTTTTTTTTTTGTAGTGAATCTAAGCCTCAGTTTGACTCTAGATCATCATGTATAAAATTTGTAAAACACGTGGCGGACTCAGTCCAACATCAGACCAGAACTCTGACTTTTCAGTGGCGTACTCACTCTGACATAGGACCGCAAAGGGTTAGGGACTGTTTTAACACAGAACAGTTTCCCACCATGGCAACATTTCCTGGCCAGCCTGTTTACTCAGTCTCGGCTTGTGAATTTTTTATGGGGCTACTTGAAAAGTAAAGTGTTACCTTACTTACACTTACCTTTCAATTTGTATCTTAAGTGCGTCATGTTTGTGTTGAATCAAATACATATATTTATTTTCACAGTCTATACTCAAACTTATTTAAAATGATGATGTACTTTATACTATAAATGTTGTAATATTTTAACATCATTTTAAATAAGTTTGTGTATAGACTGTGAAAATAAATATATGTACTTACATTTCAGTTTACATTCTTGTAAAGCATCTGTAGTATTGGCATTTTCTCAAAGTAACTGAGAAATATAATGAATTCTTCTTGGGCTACCAGCCGTGTAAGTTGGTTTATTAAAGAAAACACCAATGTTTTGAGAACCATCTTTGTGCTGTTTTCTTCAGTAAGCCACCTTACACAGCTGGTAGCCTGAGAAGAATTCATTATACTTAGTCACTGTAAAAGCGTCAGATCATACATAACTGAGAGAAATCAGAAAGAAAACCCCAGGAACCTCAGAATAGTTATAATGTTCATATTCTGACTTTGGATGTCCTGAACGTGAAGTGAGAGGACCAACTGCCTGCTACATTGTAATGTTGTGTTTTCGTAATACAGATTAAATGTTTCAGGAGGTAATAATCAGTGTATTGACACAGAAACTTTTAATTTCTGGGTACGTATGTATGTGTCGAGCCTCGATTCTTACAAATTCAGTGCAGCAGAGAGACTAGGTTGGCTGTCACATGAATGCCACCATGCCAGAGCTGGGGTACACAAAATGCTATCCTATAAAGGTTGTAGTACTTCCTGTAAATTACTTAAAAGAATGCCTTTTCAACGTGTTTTTCAGATGCCACCAGCTACGAACACTCATGGCAGCACAAGTACTACTCAGTATCCAAAGCCTGGAAGCTATGGATCTGGGTACGGTTCGGGTTACGATGGTCTCGTGCAGAACCAAGACTATGGCAAAACTGGCTATGTGTCAAATAGCCAGTCTCAGAGCAAGGCTGGAGTGGGGGCAAATGCTGGCACAGCTGGTTCTTCTGCAACTGATCTCAGTGCAACCATGTATGGAAAATCCCATGTTACTCTGGGCAAGGTGAATGTGAGTACTTATTTCCGTTTTGCAGTAAAATGTGTCTGTATGATGTGAACTATAATATTAGTGAGGTCTTCTCAACTAACATTTTAACACAACGAAGGTCTCACGATTTTCGCCATGTATTCGACGTGGCATTGGTTGATTTCAAGTTGATTCAGCTGTTCTGATAATACCATATTTAGTAGTGTATAACATACACCATTAATTTTTTGTTTTGAAAGCTATGAATAAAATATTCAGGTATTCTTATATTTTATTTATTTTGAAGTATGTATAACATGCTTCAAAATAAATAAAATATAGGCTTGAGAGGTCTGAAAATTGGGCAGGTGAGTTAGCTTTTATTGTTACAGGTGGTATTTTGTAATGAGACTGACCCAGGTCGACTCATATTTTAAGTCAGTCGATGATGGCATATTTGTTGGTTTGTTGGTGACACGCACTGATTTGTTTATTACCTGCACCCAAATTTTAAGAATGGATAAATATATTTGAAAAAGCTGCACGTTATGCACGACTAAATACAGTACACAAGAATCTAATGAAAATTACAGATTTCAAGAACTGAACTTCCT